GTCTTCGGAGGCCCAGATGCGCAGCCAGGGGTCCACGATCGAGCGCGTGACGTACGTGACATCGGCCCCCAGATCCGCTGCCATCAGTGCGGAGGCCGCGCTCCGTGCGGAATGCCGGATTAGTTTTTAGTTACGCCTTGTCATCGGAGGAGTCTCGAAGGTTTGGTTCTGGTGCCCACTCGTAGTGCAGCCAACGGCATTGACCTGCACAGCTCCCGCACCTCGGCTTAATTTGCACAATGAGTTCGGGAGCACACAATGGATTGCCTGATGCGACGTTGCGACGCAGGCGATGAGAAAGTTGGCCAACGAAGGCGCGAGCCACCTCAAGACGTGCGGCAAGCAGCAATTGGCGAAGGTGTAGCAGGGGCTGCCACCAGGATCGCCCAAACTTGTCAAGGCACAAGTGACTCAGAAGATGGTCTTGAAGTAACCTGTTGGACGTTGCCTGAGGCTGGAGAGAACAACAATCCCCCTCTTCCACCTCCCTCCTCCTCCTCCTCCTCCTCCCTCTCCTTCTCCTCCTCTTCCTCCTCCTCCTCCTCCTCCTCCTCCTCCTCCTCCTCCTCCTCCTCCTCCTCCCCCTCCTCCTCCTCCTCCTCCTCCCCCCACTTCGGCGTTTGAGGTTTTCGGCTGCTCTAGTCAGTCCTTAGTGGTTTTGGTCAAGCCGCCCTGGCCGGCTCAAGCCGCCCTGGCTGTCTGCGAGTCCGCCCGGCTCGAGATAGTTATGCCATGTCTCGTCACGGCGCTCTCGTATGTTCGGCGTCCGGCGAGGCTCTCGACAAGAAGGTGTTGTTTTCCTTGGCGATGCCATCAGGACGTGCGGGAGGACCAAGCAGTGGAGCACGGCGCTGCGGTTGCTCCGCGAAGCGTCCCAGGTGCGCGTGGGAGTCTCCTCGGGCGACTGTGTCGCGGCTGCCGCCGTGTGCACAAGGAGCAGGCAGTGGCGACGGGCGCTGGCGCTTCTCAGCGACCTGCTGGACGCAGAGGTGGAGGCCACCGTCGCCAGCTACAACGCTGGGATCAGCGCGTGGGGGAAAGGCGCGCAGTGGCAGCAGGCGCTGTCGTCTCTGAGCGCGATGTGCGAGGAGAGCCTGGAGCGAGACGCCGTCAGCTGCAACGCCGGGATCAGCGCGTGCGAGAGGGGCGGGTGCTGGCAGCAGGCTCTGCTGCTGCTCCGGGAGATGTCGGAGACGACGCTGGAGCCCGACGTCATCACCTACGACACTTGCATCAGCGCGTGCTGTGAAGACGAGCAGTGGCAGAGGGCCGTGTCGTTATTCGACGAGATGGGAGGCGCGAAGCTGGAGCCCAACGTCATCAGTCACAGCGCCGTGATCAGCGCGTGTGGGAATGGCGGACAGTGGCAGCTGGCTCTGTGGTTTCTCAAGGACATGTCAGAACAGGCGAAACTGAAGCCCGACGTCATCTGCTACAGCGCTGCGATCAGCGCGTGTGAGAAGGGCGAGCAGTGGCAGCGAGCTCTATCGTTGCTTTGCCACATGCGGGAGGCGAATGTGCAGGCCAACGTCATCAGCTACAGTGCTACGATGAGCGCGTGCGAGAAAGGCGATCAATGGCAGCAGGCCTTAGCGCTGCTCGGCGAGATGCGCAGTGCGAGAGTGGATCCCAACAATATCAGCTACAGCGCTGTGGTCAGCGCGTGCCAGAGAGGCGAGCAGTGGCAGCGGGCTCTGTCACTACTCTGGGAGACGCGGGAGGCCAACTTGGAGCCCGACGTCGTCGATACTATACGGTCGAGGCTGATTCGTAGGCCGACCCTGCTCAATCAAGGGTACCCTTGTGTCCCGTGTTTCGCGACCAGTGCCTTCCTGCATTCCTGTGGCAGTGTGGCCCTCGGAAGGGTCTTGTGCCCTTCAGAGCGTGAATTACCTACCCCGCTTTCGCTTCCAGGAGAAACCAAGTCATACCACGCGCCTCCTCGTCAAGCGGCCTGACCAGTACAGGCCGTAGTTTGGCATCGCTTGGTATCTCTTGGAAGCGCGGGTGGTCAAAAGCGAGGTAGGTTTGTTTTCCCCCTAGCCCTCTCGTGTGCTCTCTCCAATCAGCCCCGACTGTAATTCGGGGATCCGCGCGTGCGAGATGGCGCTGCCGCAGCCCGGCCCGGGGGAGGCGCCTGGCGCTCACGGGGCGGTCCTGGACGGCCTTGGACGGCCGCCAGACAGCCCAAGCACGTCCAACGACGGCTTACAGTGAGCGGCTTGCATAAGGAACACTTTCGTTTTCAAGAGGGGCTCGGTCGTTCCTCAGGCTTACACGCGTTATTTACAGTTCCCTATGCGTTATTTGTGATTTGTCGTTCCTCGTGCGTTATTCCTTGGGATAGAAGAGGGGCTTCGTTCCTTATTTATCGTTCCTTAGGTCAGGCCGATGACTGTAGGGACCTTCCAGAGAGCGCCCAGAAGGCACCAGCGGACCCGAGGCGAGCCTCCGAGTGGCCCGAGACGGCCCCGAGACGGCCCCAGGACACGCCGGGGGGCCTCCCAAGCCAGCCCGGGAGGACCCCGATGCCGGCCCCCACAGGGCCAAATGTTCAATTCAGTTTCTGGCCTATGTTCAGTCTCACCCCGTGCCGCCCCCAGAACGTCTCGAGGCGGCCACCAGCGCCTTCCAAGCCGCGCCACCGCTGCCCAACGGACTCTCAGGAGAGGCCGCCGACAGCCCCAAAGGGCCCCTATAGATAGCCCCAGAACGCCCACAGACGGTCCCAAAGAGCCCCAAGCTCCCTCCGAGGAGGCCAGAGAGAGTCCCCGCAGAGCCCTTCAGAGCTCCAAAGACGCCCCAGGACGGCCCCAAGGCGATTCTGCAAGCTTCTGGGGGACAGCCCGGGAACGGCCCCAGAGGCGCCCCAAATACCGCATGATGGTTTCAAGATGCCCCAGACAGGCTCACAGGAGCACCCAGCATGCTCCCGACACGGCCCCAGATACACCCGAGCTTTTCAACTTCGACGAGTGTTCACCCACGGTGTGCGAATTCCCATGTTCAGCACACCGTGGATGTAATATACGGGCTCGCGCTCGTCATCTACAACGCTGCGATTAGCGCGTGCGCGAAAGGCAAGCAGTGGCAGCCAGCTTTGTCGCTGCTCAGGCAGATGACAAAGGTAAAGGTGGAGCCCGACGGCATCAGCTACGACGCTGGGATCAGCGCTTGCGAGAAAAGTGACCAGTGGCAGCGGGCGCTGTCGATTCTCAGGGAGATGGCAGAGGCGACGGTGGAGTCCGACGCGACCAGCTACAATGCTGGAATCAGTGCGTGCGGGAAAGGTGAACAGTGGCAGCATGCTCTGTCGCTGCTCAGAGGCATGCGAGAGGCGAGTGTGGAGCCCGACGTCATCAGCTACAACGCTGGGGTCAGCGCGTGCGAGAAAAGCAGGCAGTGGCAGCAGGCGCTGTCGCTACTCAGCGAAATGTGGCAGGTGAAGGTGCGGGCCAACGTCATCAGCTACAACGCTGGGATCAGCGCCAGCGCGTCGCAGTGGCAACAGGCTCTGTCGCTGCTCAGCCAGATGCAGGGGAAACGCTTGGAGCCCGACGTCATCATCTCTGCTGCCACCGGGGGTCGTCTGGAGATCGCTCGTCCTCCCCTCCTTTCTCCCTCTCTCCGGAGGGTTCCAGAGGGGGTTTGGGGGGGGGGGGTCCAGGACGGGGTCCCCCAGGGGCTTCGCACCCCTTGGGGGGCTCTCTGGAAAATCCCCTCCCCCCAAACCTCCTTTGGAAGCAGCCGGTCTCCACTCCTCACCCCCCCTCCTTCATCGTGGATGGCTCGTTGGGGCAGCGGTGGGTCTTGTCCGCCAGGCAGGGCGGCCATGCACAGATCCTGTGGAGTTTGCCCCTCGGGTGTCCTCTCGCCCTGCGTGTCCACGGAGAGGTCCCCAGACGGCGCCGCTCGATTTTCGCTCGACGACCCCTCGTACTGCGTCGACCGACCGACCCTCCTCGTCCTCGTCCTCCTCCTCCTCCTTCTCCTTCTCCTCCTCCTCCTTCTCCTCCTCCTTCTTACTCCCTCCTCGTTCCTCTTCCTCCCTCCCCGGCCCTCCTCCTTCCTCCTCCTTCCTTTCCTCCTCCTCCTCTCTCTCTTGTTCCTGCTGCCTCCTCTTCCTCCTCGCTCCTCCTCCTCCGTTTCCCTCCTCGCTCCTCCTCCCCCTCCTCGCTCCTCGTCACTCCTCGCTCCTCCTGCTCCCTCCTTGTTTCTCCTGCTCCCTCCCTGTTTCTCCTGCTCCCTCCTTGTTTCTCCTCCCCGGGCTGCGCGCCAGGACGAGGCCCGCACGGGCGGTGCCCGACGGCTACCCGCGCTCTCGAGCGAGTCCAGCCGCCGAAGCAGCGCGCTGAGCTCGTCTATCGTCTCCATCGGCTGAGCTTCGAGAGCTCTCCCGAGAGGAACAGTCACCCATGCCGCCAGCCTCGGCGCGTTCTCCCCTCTTGGGGGGGGCCTCCCGGCAGGCCTTGGTCGCCACCGCTGGATTCGCCTCCAGGTCCTGGTCAGCACGCACCGCCGGAGAGGTCCGGGGAGTAGTGGTATTGGTACCTTCTGCCCTCCCGAACTTCGGGAGCTCCGACGCGTTTGTATTATCCTGTCTTGCCTCCCGTCCTTCCTCCTCCTCCTCCTCCTCCTCCTCCTCCGCCACCCGCAGGGAGGCCTGCTGAGAGGGCGGTACCCGATGAGTCCACCGGGCCAGCACACCGCGCAGCGGGACGGCAGGGGAGCAGACAGGTAGGCCAGCGATCACCAGTTTTGCATGCGATTGAGGGCTTGTGGAAGGTGGTCCATCTAGGCGCTCGTTTTGAGGATCTTCCTGGGGCCCACCAAACGGATCTGTTCGACTCTAGTTCGACGCCAGTTCGACTCGAGTTCGATTCAAGTCCGACTCAAGTTCGACTCAGATTCGACTCAGATTCGACACCCGACTCAAGTTCGACTCGTGTTCGACTCAGATTCGACTCAAGGTCGCCTCAAATCGACGGACGGTCGACGCAGTTTTCGACGCACGAGTGGAGCGAGTGTCTCCAGGAAGGTCCCCAGAATGAGCATACACCGCCGTGACAACAGTGTTGGATGGTCTGGATGCAAGATGGTTGACGACTGACGGAGTGGGCGGATCAGACTCCGCGCGGGCATGCGCCCAGCCCCAGCCCGAAGCTTCATGGTGGATGGGGCGGAGTAGTTTCCGATCCCTCGTGGAGAGAAGAGTTATTTAATCGCTTCGCTCATTCCGCCGGCCCTCGAGCGCTTTATGGGGTCTCTTTGAAGCCTCTTGGGGGCCTTTTTGTGGCCTCTTAGGGGCCTCTTTGGGGCCTCTTGGGGGTCTCTTGGGGCTCCTTGGCGGCGTCTTTGGGGCTCCCTTGGGCCTCTTGGGGTGCTCTTGGGGGCCTCTTGGGGCGGGGTAGTCTAGTGCACCCGCCTCGGAGGCCACGATCCTCGTGAGAGGTGTCGAAAAAAGGCCCTCCAAACCATCTCTGAGTAGACCTGGTCGGGCTGCGGTCAGGATACTTCTCGCCGGGGGACCCCCAGGGACCGCCCCGCGCGCGCGAACTAGAAATATTGTTAACCAGTTACCGGAGATCTCTGCACGCCTCTGGACTGTTGGGCCGGCGAATTCATCAAGGGCGACCCGCATTATTCCGCGGGAGCGCAGGAGTCAAGATGACCCCCGAGACCGCCAGCAGTCCGTCAACAAGCCCGAGGGGGGCCCACGTGAGGCCCCAAAGAGGCCTTCCGAGAGGCCCCCGAGAAGCCCCAATAATTACACTCCAGAACTGCCTCCGAGAGGCTGCCGAGGGAAGACCCCGTGGCCAGCTCCGGGATCGCGCAAGACACCAACGAAAAAGGGGCGCCCATGTTGTTTGCCTTTCCTTTTCGGAGTGGCTCTGTTCTTACAGTAAAAGCCATGCCAACAAAAACACCCTACTCACCTCCAAAATGCCCTGAGTTTCTTAAACCTCGATAGTTTTACTATAAAAGCGCGACGTTCCCACACCAGAAATCAATAAACGTTCTGGGGTCTTAGGGTTGGGTTTCTTGTGGCAGATTTCTTGTGGTCGAGCTGCTACTGTACTGGGCTGCCCGTCGGGGAGTTCTCCCCGAGCGCTCTGGACCCGCTGGCCACCGGGGGCGCGCTCTGCAGTGCTTTCTGCCATATCCCGACGAGCCTGTACGCAGCCCGCGCGCCTCTTCCAGCCTCTTCGGGCGGCCCACAGCCTCGATGAAGCACCACGAAACAGACAGCAACACGCGACAGCTTTCTTATTCATCGGTTCGTCGACCGGCGCGGGCCCTCGCACCCCCTCTCCCCCCGCAGTGGAGTAGATCTTGGCTGCTCTTGGCGCCTGTTTCCAGCAGGTGGGGTCGCCCCCATAGAGGACGGACTGCTGCAAACCGTCGCATGAAAAACAGAGCTCCGGAGCCAGGCCCCCCCCCCACCCTCGCCTCTCTTCCGCCCAGTGTCGAAACGCCGAACGAAGTCGCATGAAAAACATAGGTCCGGAGCCAGCCCCCCCCCCCTCTCGCCTCTCTTCCGCCCAGTGTCGAAGCGCCGAACATGAAAAACGTGCAGGGCGGCGTGGGCGGAGCCCACGGGCCGCGTGGAGTCTGCAGGTCGCGGCAGCGCCCGGGGGGGCCCGCCGCGAGAGCCCGCAGGGAGGGCCTGCGCCGCCCAGACGGCTTCAAGCGAAGCCAAGAGGCCTCCAAAAAGTTCGCCGCCGAAGGTGCTTCCAATGAGGCCGAGGATGGCCTCAGGAGGAGGAGGAGGAGGAGGAGGAGGAGAAGGAGGAGGAGGAGGAGGAGGAGGAGGAGGAGGAAGAGGAGGGAGGAGGAGGAGGGAGAGGAGGAGGGAGGAGGGAGGAGGAGGAGGAGGAGGAGGAGGAGGAGGAGGAGGAGGAGGAGGAGGAGGAGGAGGAGGAGGGAGGAGGAGGAGGAGGAGGAGAGGAGGAGGAGGAGGAGGAGGAGGAGGAGAGGAGGAGAGGAGGAGGAGAGGGGAGGAGGAGGAGGAGGGAGGAGGGAGGAGGGGGAGGAGAGGGAGAGGGAGGAGGGAGGAGGGAGGAGGGAGGAGGGAGGAGGGAGGAGGGAGGAGGAGGGAGGAGGGGGAGGAGGAGGAGGAGGGAGGAGGGAGGGGGGGAGGAGGGAGGAGGGAGGAGGAGGAGGGAGGAGGGAGGAGGGAGGAGGAGGAGGGAGGAGGGGAGGAGGGAGGAGGGAGGAGGAGGGAGGGAGGAGGAGGAGGGAGGAGGAGGGGAGGGAGGAGGGAGGAGGAGTGAGGACGAGGAGGAGGAGGAGGAGGGAGGAGGAGGAGGAGGAGGAGGAGTGAGGAGGAGGATGAGGAGGAGGAGGGGGGGGAGGGGGAGGAGGACGATGGCCCAAGATTGCGTTCAGACGGCCTCAGAGGGCCCCAAGATGGCCCAAGACGGCCTCCAGACAGCCGAAAAGCCTTCAGAATGTCCCCCCGAACGCTCCAAGGGCAATCCCAGCAGGGCCCCCCGGTATAAGCATCGAACATTTCCTGAAGGTGTGTTTCATACACTTTCACCGTATGCGACTTCCGGGCCCTTGCAGCGTCCACATCGGCCCTATAGACCCCCAGATCGCCCCAAGCCAGCCCAAGAGGCCTCGAACGAGAATCCCAAGGCGGCTCGAGAGAGCCGCGAGACGGCCAAAGAGAGCTCTAAGACGTCCCAAGAGGCGCCCAAGACGACCCAAGATGCCCAAAGATGGCCCACTGGAGCCCCAGGTGCATCCCAAGACGTCCCAAGAGCGCCCCCAGAGAGCCCGAAGAGACCCCCCAACGGATGCTACAGCGCCTCCCCTGTTGTGTAGCATCCACCGATCGGGTGCTTTCTGAGGGCCCTCCTTGGGCCATCGTCGGGCCCTCTCGAGCCCGTCTTGGGGCAATGTTCGAGGTCCACTGGCTGCTCCCAGAACCTCCTGCAAGGCAGCAAGACAGCAGCTGAAAATTATGGCCAGAGTGCAACATCCCCAAACAGGGTTTTTCAATCCGCTGCGGTTTCCAAGGTCGACTGCGTGCCCGTCTAGTGCGGGCTGGCATGGCAGGTTAGTCGGGGGTGGACAGAACCCCCAATAGTGACACGTCGATCAGTGAATTGTCCGTTTTCGGTTCTCGAGAGGGCGCCGTGGCCGTTATTTTCCGGGCTTGCGCCCGCCAGGTTTGGGCCTCAGGTCGTTTTCATTAAACCACGTTTTACTAAAGGGGGGTCTGTCCATCCCCGAGTTAGAACATGAGAACAGGATGTTTGCACGTGAGATCCGCGGGCGCACGCCTCAAAAGAAACATCGTGACGTTGGATGCCTGGGGAGGACCGAAGGCAGGGCGCGCATGACAGATGCCGAGGCGGCAGGCACGACGACGGCGGGCACGGGGAGGCGAGAGGCGGGAGGGGGGGGGGGTCCGTAGCCATTTTGGCTCAAGTGGGAACAGGTCCCATCTGAGCGGGCAGCTCTCTTCTGCGAGCTTTCATGCGTGTCGTGCGCAGGCGGACTTCCTCTTACATCACCTACTTCGATCTTGGGGCTGCTGGCGCCGGGGGAACGGCGGCGGCTGCAGGGGCGCAGGCGTTGCATGGCAACACCTCCTGCGGATTCCAATGGGCTCGCGGCGGCGATGGCTGTGGCGGGCTTGCGGAGCAGCTCCGGCAGCTGGCCCAGGTCGCCTCCGCCCTCGGCGGAAGCGGCTCCGGGCCATCGCTGGCGCAGGCTTCCGGCGGGGCTGCTGGGGCCGCGGCTGCGAACCGCCCTCCCGGGTGGCTCTGTGCATGGGCGGACTGCCCAGGGGCACAGAAAGGCCGGGAGAATTTTGCCTCGCGCTCGCATGGCTTCGGATGCGGACGTTGCAAGGCTTCCGCCAGGAGCCCCCCAGCTGCGCAGCGGCTTCCGGGGCCCGCGGCGGGGCGCGTGGCCAGCGCGCCTGCTGGGGGATCGCGGCTGGCGTCTCGCCGTGCAGCTCACCGCGCAGCCGCCGCTGCGCAGCAGGCCGCTGCGGCTGGGGCTGCGGACCCAGGCCGCGGCCCTCCTGCCCAGGCTCCCGTGGCCGTGGGCGGCGCCTCACCCACGCCGCAGGCAGCCGCGCCGGCCGCCGTGGCGCGCGGCGCCAGGATCCTCACTCTGCCGGCCGAGCTGCTCGAGGAGCTGAAGGACCTTCGCCCTGCCCTCGCACCGCTTGCGGAGTCGCTGGGCCTGGACACCCTGCCTGCGGACGGTGCCACCCCTCCAGTCGCCGAGAGTGTCATCCAGCGCTACCTGGCCGACTCGCAGCCCTGCGCGTCGGTTGCCGAGCGCGCGCGGCTCGAGGAGAGCATTGGGAAGGCCCGCTCAGCGCTCACCGTCCTCGGGGACGCCGACGAGCCCGATGCTGCCAAAGCCTTGCAGGCGCGCCTCCTCGCCGAGCAGGCCGCTCTCGATCGCCTCCGCACAAGAAGGCCCCCTCGCCGGAGCTCGAATGCACGGCCCTGAAGCGAGCCAAGGCGGCCTATCTGCAGCAGGTGCAGTCCCAGCGCGACCGCGCCGATGCTGGCGCGGCCAAGGCTGCCGCCCGGCGCGCCGAACGCCGGACCTTCCTCGACTCGCTGCGCACTCAGCTTCAGAAGCTCGGCGAGGAGCTGGACAAGCTGGAGGCGACCCATGCTGCTGCGCACGCCGAGGTTGCGCAGCAGCGCCGCGCTGCCGAGTCGGAGGTCGTGGCGCTCTTCGATTCCAGGATTGCGGCGGCACGGTCGGCGGCCGGCGCCTCGGCTGCTGCTCCGCCCTCGGCGCCGTTGGGGGGCGCAGCTCCTGGTGCTGGTGACGCGACTGGGCAGCGCGGCGCCGTTCCGGCCCCTGCAGCTTCGTCTTCCGAGCTTGCGGAGCTCGAGAGCCGGAAGGCACTCCTCGACCAGCAGCTAGGCCGCGCGGGACAGGCTCGCTGAAGTTCAGGCCGCGGACGCCAGCGACGCCGACTTCGCCCGCATCGCGGAGGCGGCCTCCCTCGACGCGCTGCCGAACATCCAGGTCCCGGCAGGTCCCCAGCTGGAGGAGTGCGGGCGGTGGTACCAGTTCATCAACCAGTGGTACCAGCTGGCGCCTGCGTGCCCTTCACGTTCGCGGATCTCACCTCGGCCCAATGTCCACCGGCGGAGGTACTCGTCACGGCCAAGCTCCTCCTGGGCTCGCAGTGGCCGCTCTGGTTCCAGGGGGGCGCCCAGGTCAG